ATCCATCCATCCATCCATCCATCCATCCATCCATCCATCCATCCATCCATCCATCCATCCATCCATCCATCCATCCATCCATCCACTACATAAAAAAAATTAACTTTGATCTAGTTTTATAAATCAGAAAACCTGTCAGCCCACCTTTCCCTTTCTTACTGTCACTTGCAGCTTCCCCTTATTTTGCCACCCAAATCAATCTCTCCCTCCGTCTTTGTAATGCACTCTTTCATCTGCTCTCCTATTTCTCCCCATCTCTATGCTACCCGTTCTGCTTCACCATGAGGTCTCTTGGCTCCTTTGTAGGCCCTCCACATTTTTGGGCGTAATGTGATCCTCTTATCCCTCCCCGGGGTGGTCCACTCCTCCCATTCAAATAACAAGCTCTGGCTAAATGTAACCAATGATAGGAGGGTAGACATGAAGTTAGATTTGATAATGGGTTAAAAGGAAAACAGGGATTTTTTTTTTCTTTTTTGTATACTTAAAAGTGATTTTTATTTTTTTAAGTGTATTAACTACATCATTATTGTGAAGATCTTTTTCCTGAAAAAAATATAAACCTGTCCTTTTTTTCTTAGCATGTTAACCCTTACTTTTTAATTCTTTAACAGAATGCAGACTAAGTTGATGGCTGCTTTTTTTGTGTTGCTGTTGTTATTTTCAATTTGGGTTTTCCAAGAGAGTATGAGACATCATTATTGAGCAAATGGCTTAATGAAGGGCATCATTTCACATTTACAAAACATAAAACAGCAAATCATAGAGACTTGTACTAAACTGTATTTTACATTTAACCCTTTAGTTATATTTGCACTTAGAATATATAGGGTGATGTTTCATCACTAGTATTGCTATAATTTAAAGGGATTTTGATAAACAAAATTAAACACCCTATTGAAATAAATCATAATTTAATTAACAGCTTTTCTTTTTTGTCTAAAACCTGACAGCTACCTTTTTACAGAAGTCATAAGATACATTAAGAGTTGATCTGACTCACTAGTTTATTATGCACTCGCAATGTTGGCCAGACTGTAAGGATTACAGTATATGATTCTGATAAAAATAAAAAAGATAAAAAGAAAAAAACCTCTGATATTTCTAAAGAGAAAAATTATAATGATGTTTTGTCTGATAAAGTTTATATTAACACCCAAAACCCCTCAAACTAGAATAGGTGTAGAAAACTGTTAAAATGATGATGATTTGAACGATCAATCACTCATATCATCATATTACTGATGTAAAGTACATTTGAGGACCATGATGAACCACTGAGGTAGTCTCTATCTTTCTCAAAATGGCTAGCAACAACAACAAAGCAACCAGAGATTTTTGATGGTTTTAAACAAAGGTGGCAGGTCTGCTTTTGCAGTTTTTACTCGATATCTGTATGTACGCTTTAGATTCAGCTTTGTTTGGAAAATGTCATCATTATTGTTTTTAAACCTTTATTCAACCAGGAAAGTCACCACTGAGATTCACAATGTATTTTTCATTGTTGTTTAAGTAACAGCAGTTAAGTCTCTGATATTAAAAAATATGGAGGGGAAAAAAATGTAATTATTGTTCTTTTTTAGTTTTTACTTAATGTAGTGGGTATTTAACTATTCACCCGAGTTAAATAAACGGAGATAGATGGGTTTTACACAGTCTGCATTTTATTTTTATCTTTGCATAGAGAGAACAACATAATCATCATACGGCCCTTATTGTACAGTAATCAGCCCTGTTCTGATCTGGGAGCCTTTGTTCCCCCTTACTTACAATAATGGAAAGTAGTCAAAGTCAAAACAAATAACAAAAACTTTGGTTAAACAGTAATATGTTATGATTAAACCTTGAGAAAATATCTGGTTTGTTATCAGAAGAAGCTATGTCTGTCTACAAACACACTCAGGCAGGGGAATTGTGTGGCCTTGCAGGTGAAACAGGCTGAGTGAAAACTTTTATAGTGAGTAAATAGCATTAATTAATATATGAAATGAGAGAAACTAAATTTTCCAACCAGAGTTAACAAAGTGAAAAACACTTTGACAATGCCTGAAAAAAATCCCAGTACTTTTCCTAAATGATTTGTTATTATATCAGACTTTTTTGACATTGATGCATTTTCTTTTATAAAGTGCTGTTTATTATAATTATTTTT